GAGTGTGCTGTGTTGTGTGCAGGTGTGTGTGGTGTGTAGGATGTTTGTGATGAGGGTGTGTGTGTGTGTGAGTAGTGTGTAGGGTGTTTGTGATGGGGGTGTGTGTGGGTGTGTGAGTAGTGTGTAGGGTGTTTGTGATGGGGGTGTGGTGGGTGTGAGTGTGCTGTGTTGTGTGTGGGTGCGTGTGGTGTGTAGCGTGTTTGTGATGAGGGGGTGTGTGTGTAGTGTGTAGGATGTTTGTGATGGGGGTGTGTGTGGGTGTGTGAGTAGCATGTGGGGTGTTTGTGATGGGGGTGTGGTGGGTGTGAGTGTGCTGTGTTGTGTGTGGGTGCGTGTGGTGTGTAGGGTGTTTGTGATGAGGGTGTGTGTGTGTAGTGGGTAGGGTGTGATGGGGGTGTGTGTGGGTGTGTGAATAGCGTGTGGGTGTTTGTGATGGGGGTGTGGTGGGTGTGAGTGTGCTGTGTTGTGTGTGGGTGCGTGTGGTGTGTAGGGTGTTTGTGATGAGGGTGTGTTGTGTGTTGTGTGTTTTTCCAGCTCTGCCCCACCAAGTGTCCGGTGGATCGAGGCTTCCCCAGCCTCTCTGGTGCCTCCCTCCCACGCTCCCCGTGATTGGCGGGGTGTGGGGGGGCCCTCTTTGCCGTGCAGGCCTCTGAGAAGGGGCTGAAGAGCTCCTTCAGCTGCTGTCCGGGCGGTTTGAGGCGCTGACCCTGGGCAGGCCTGGTCACTGGACCTGGTCTCCAGCCTGCCGGGCAGCGCTGTCCGCTCTGCGGCCCCTGTGAGGAAGCCTTGCTCGGGGAGTGGTCTTTGGGCGTAGGCACCTGCGTCACTGTGGCGAGGTCTGCTTTTGTCGCTGACCAGCTGATGACATCCTTGGATGGCTGCCGGCTTTCACCGCGGAGCAAGTGCCGCTGCCTTCTGTGGTGAGCAGAGTGAGAGTCGGCCGGGCAGCGTTGTTTGTAGCTGAAGGCAGGCCGGGCTGCGGGAAATGGATGGTGACGGCTGTAATTTGGCCCTATTACTTATTCATTAACCGCATGCAGGTGGTCAGCCAGCCGGCAAGACCTGCTCTTTGAAATTTCATTTTCTAGAGGACTCCTTGTGTCTGCACTGTGTGGTGTTAATTTAATGTCTCCTTCCCACCCGTGGTCCCCACAGGTGCTGGCGGTCACTGCAGAGTGTGCAGCCACGGGCTCTGACTCCGGGGACTGGGAAAGGCCTCTCTCATTCATGCCAGGGCCCAGCTGGGGTCCCTGGATGCTGACCCCTGTGGAGGACGAGAGCCCCTTTGGGTAGGAGGACTTCTCCTCTCTCCTCCCAAAGCTCTCCTTGGCACTTGAGGGGGGAGTGTGTGTGGGGTGACAGCAGCTTCTCTGCTGACCCATCCTCTCCAGTCTGGTCTTTTCTTTTTTTCTTTCTTTTTTTTTGTTTTGAGACGAACTTTTGATCTCATCACCCAGGTTGAAGTGCAATGGCGCAATCTCAGCTCATTGCAACCTCCACCTCCCGAGTTAAAGCGATTCTTCTGCCTTAGCCTCCTGAGTAGCTGGGATTACAGCCATCACATCCGGCTAATTTTTTTGTATTTTTCGTAGAGATGGGGTTTCACCATGTTGGCCAGGCTGGTCCTGAACTCCTGACCTCAGGTGATCCGCCCACCTCGGCCTTCCAAAGTGCTGGGATTATAGGTGTGAGCCACGGTGCCCGGCCTCCAGTCTGGTTGTTTCTTTTTTTGTTTGTTTGTTTTTTGTTTTTTTTTTTTTGAGACGGAGTCTAACTCTGTCGCCCAGGCTGGAGTGCAGTGGCCAGATCTCAGCTCACTGCAAACTCCGCCTCCCGGGTTTA